GAAGATGAACGAAGGTCTTACGGGTTTGGAACAACACGAGGGTGAGTAATTAATGACAGAATTTTTATTTTTGGGTGAACTAACCCTTTAAGCCATGTGAAGAGAACATAGTTAACATGAGAAGTACTTATTTGACCTTCTAATGACCAGTTTACCAGCATCCACACAAAACTCTGATAACATTACAAACCAACTTTACCTCATATGTGTAATACTGGCCCCTGAGGTGAGCAATCTTGTCCTTCTATATGACATGTTAAGGTGAAAGCCCCTACAGACAATGAGGTGTCCTTACATGATACTGAAGGGCTTGGGTTAAAGCTTGTCCTACTGTAAGTCAAAGTATCTAAAATTGAGAAGAGTGGGATTTCTTTTTTTTACGGTGGACAGGGTGGACATTCTGATCTAAAATCAGCCAATGCACCATGTCTGAGCAAAAAGAAGCTAGCACAGAAGGGTTATCAAATAAAGATTGCATAGTTTTTAAAATTGTAATTTTAAAAATGTGAGTTTTCTACTATTTTTTTTAACCGCCCTCATCTGGTGATCAGTGATCTTTAAAAGTGTGAGGATGTCACATCCTCAGGATTGGAGTGAGCCAATGAGGAATGGCACCTTTGGATGGAAATGTTACGATATGTTGTCTCTAGCATGGTATTTTGCATATGAAACTGGATTGGGTGTTCAAGAGAAGAATCTTCAAGATTCTTATAATATTAATGTGTCACAGAGTTAGCTAAATGTAATGTAAATTAACAAATAGGTAACGTAATTTGGAGCTCAGGGATACCAAGCACGGCATATGTGCAATCTTGATTAAGTAATCATAAAACATTCAATATATAGGTAAAACACTATAAAAGAACATATGATTACATACATGATTGTACATGTCTCAAGTGAATAGTAGACAAAATGTTCTGAAATATGTATGTTATCTTAGAGAAAGGTTTGTCTATGAATTTATGTGATGGAAAGGTCCGTTCTATTGGCCTGTGTCTGTCTTTCACTGGATTTGTTCCATTGCACATCTTTCCACATACTTTTAAGCAAAGTATTTTATCAGATGGTAGCCCGGGTAACTGAGCCCTCTTGGGGTGATAGTAGCACTTTTGGGTGATAGTCCATGGAACTCACAGAGTGGGTTTTAAAGATTATTTGTTAAATATAACAAATAATTGTGTTGCTCAGTCCAATTGTTACAGCAGACATTAGATGTGATGTATCAGGCTATGTGCTGTCAAGGTAGTGAACTATCCAAAACACAAACGATTATAAACAAATCATTCTCAAAATGTAACATAGTATGCCATATTTTGTTTGATCTGCCTGTTTAAAAGTCTAGATGTGATGTATCAGGATATGTGCTGTCAAGGTAGTGAACTATCCAAAACACAAACGATTATAAACAAATCATTCTCAAAATGTAACATAGTATGCCATATTTAGTTTGATCTGCCTGTTTAAAAGTCTGCGCTGACCAACAGGCCCCCATCTTCACACAGATCTTCAACAGATCACTGGAGCTGTGTGTGAAGTTCCCTGCTGCTACAAACGCACAACTATCATTCCGGTCCCCCCCCAAAAACAAACATCACTGGACTTAACGACTAAAGACCTGTTGCTCTCATGTATGTGGTCATGAAGTCATTTGAGAGACTGGTGTTGGCCTACCTGAAGGACATCACTGGACCCTTGCTGGATCCTCTTCAGTTTGCCTACAGAGCAAACAGTTCTGTGGATGATGCAGTCAACATGGGACTGCATTATATTCTGCAACATCTTGATAGACCTGGGACTTACGCAAGGATCTTGTTTATACACTTCAGTTCGGCCTTTAATACCATCATGCATGACCTTCTCTCAGACAAACTGACCCAGCTGACCGTGCCCTCCCCTTTCTGTCAGTGGATCACCAGCTTCCTGACAGATAGGCAGCAGCTAGTGAGGCTGGGTAAACTCACATCCAGGACTCTCACGATCAGCACTGGTACCCCTCAGGGACATGTGCTCTCCCCACTGCTTTTCACCTTGTATATGAATGAATGCACTGCAAAAGATCCTTCTGTCAAGCTCCTGAAATTTGCAGATGACACTACCATCATCGGCCTCATACACAACGGAGACAAGTTTGCTTACAGACAGGA